TAAGAATCTGTTAATAGGTGCATTTCTACCTACGTTCGAACGATAACGACTAATCATGAACAGGTCTTTCTTTCTACTCCGTCTTTTGGACATTAACGCCATGTTAGTAAATGAAATATATATTTTACGGTTAAATGTTACCAAAACTTATTTTAATAAAACAATAGGGTTAAGTCACCTTCAGATGCATCACAGAAATATGTGTTAATTGTTAACAATACTTTTTAAGATTCTATTTACACAAACTTTTTTGTAGAATGAATTTTCAAGTTCAATCCAACATTTGCTATCTAACAATTTCCTCCACATGACTGCAGATTCCGGCTCGCTGCACGCACTACATGCACGATACTTCTCCTCAGTTAGTCTACTTATGCTGGGTTTCTGAAGTTTCCACAAATCTAGTCATTACCTAGCGATTTATGTGCTTGGTTGAACTATAATTCAACTCAATAAAACTCAAGTTACGTTCTTCAGAAACGCATTTCATGAATCTAAAACATTAACGAATTGGCAAACGTAGTTAGGAAACCGGCCATTACTAACATTGTTTATCTAAAGTAATGGAAATATTTTACCAGAACAAATTTAAAACTATCACAGACTTACCTTTTGGCGACTTTCCACATTATATTTATTATGTCGCATTTTTGTTTGGAAACTTTAAAAGTTTCATCGAATACGTAACGGAAGTTGAAAATATTTTCATTTAGTTCCTTTTGTTTGTTATATTGAAGTATCGTACAGGTTACTATAAAAGACTTCATGTTTGCAGAAACTTTTCGATATTAATATTTAATTTTTATAAAGTACTTTTCACAAAACGCAATAATTAATGACATTTGGCAAATGTGTGTGTGTGTATATGTCGTGAGGGCGCGGGGCTGTCCCCCCCGCTAAAAAGGTCCCCTCCGCGCGTCTTCCCCGCCGGCGTTGCAGTAGGTTGTAACAGTAACTACTTCTTGAGCTTGGACCTTGTTTAACATATAAATATATGTTTATTAATTTAGGGCAATTTTAAACGAAAGTATTAATAAGAGGTATTATTAGGTAAAAAGGTTATTTTTTATGTAGCGCGTTTTGCATGGTTGTAAATTAATCCATTTGCTTTATCTATAAAGATAAGATAATACTACAGGCAGGACACAAACATGATGTATTTTATATCATAATAAGATATGGTAAAAATTTGAATAAAATATTCAAATCAAGTATAGTAAGACGGTAAGTCGGTGCTGTGGGAGGCATTGTTCGCGCGGAATGTGAATTTGATTCCGCTTATTGTATCGAGCCCTTCAGAAATGGAAATTCTTGTTCGTTTCAAAGCGTCACGTATGCACTTCAGTTACTCTCGTTCCTGGTTACTTATAGTTTGTTTGAGATATTTCTTACAGGGGTTATATTTGTTTTTGTGAAACTTGTAACTTTTTTATGTTATTCTAATCATAATTTTTAAATGGTTTCTTATGTTTGATACAGTAAAATTATTTTTTTTTGTGAGAAAACTTTTCATGTCATTTTCTGCTACTTGACAACAGATGGCGCTGTACTCTTAATAATCAAGAAATTTTATTTATTGAACTACTTAATTTTTTTTTGTCTTATATATTTCTGTTTTTTATTCAAATTAATAAAAAAGGTCACAAAAAATATGCTTCAATCCTGAGGACACATATTGTTTTAAATAATCTTCCATACAATAGATGGCGTTAAAGTTGCTTTTGTGAACTTTGGTTTGAGAAGTTTTTATATCGGTCATAGATGGCGTTGATTCTATAATTAAAGGCAAAAATATTGTTAATTTTCAAATATTTTTTTAAATCAATTTTTGATGGATAAAAAAATGTGTCAAAAATCTAATTTAATATTAAGCTTTAATGTGTTAACGCCCACGTCATTGACCTCAAAGTAAATTTGTGCTAACAAGGGTCGGGATTTAACGGGCAATTCATACCAAGGTGTTGCAATTTGTCGTGTCATTTGCGATGGACACATTTAGTTCTGTTTGCTTGATCGTAAAGAGTCCACACCCTTACAACGGTTCAACGTCCAGCATAGAGTGATCTCTCTGACCTCCTCTGCCTTATGGTGTAATGCACGAGGGTGGAAAAACGGAATACAATGTCAGAGATCTTATTCTATTGGTAACTAGAAACTTCGTGCGTTCATTGGCAGGTGACCATGATCACGTCATTCAAACAAATGCTTCATAGCAGTAAAACCTAGTCTAGTTTCCCGTCGTCGTAGACGTGTGTAACTACCCACTCTGTTAAAACTGTTGGTGTTTTCTGTAACATTCTGACATCGCATTCAAAACTAAATAGTATGAAAATGCTTCAAGAAACAAATGTTGAGATATGAACTCAAAATGCGCAAGTTATTTAACTAGTTTGAAGACGTTTTTGGCGAGATTTTCCCACAATAACAGAATCATGAATAATTTAAAAAAACGGCGCGAATCAGTAGCAACTGTTTGCAGGAAGACTACAAAATTCCTAACATCGAATACCGCTAATCTACTTAAAAAGGTTCCGAATACAAGAAAGTATCGCCTTTTAGCACGACTTGTGGAAGATAGTGAAGGGAATGAAGAGAGGGAAATTAATAAAAACGAAGAGGAAAAAGATGAAGGCAGTGACCAAGATCTGGGAGACAGAGAACTGGATTACTATCTAGGAGTTAGAAAGCAAGAAACATTTTGGAGAGATCTGGCTGGAAGGGAACAGATAAGAAAAGATTTTCTTCTCAACCACTGCGGCGTGTCAGAAGAAGACTATGATAAACTGTACAGTAAACCAACAACAAGAAAAGAATCCTTTAAACAGCCGAAACTCAAACAAGTACCTTTTAAAATTACTAGAAAGAAAAAGAGGTCGGGTAGTGTAGAGGGAGAATCGTGGAGAGAAAAAGGGGGGATCTTTAAGTTATTTTCTAATAGAAGGGACAGTGACACTACGTCAGATAGTTATAGCGAATGCGACTCAAGTGACGAGGAAGAGAACATGCTGAAGAATGACGAGGACGATCGTATTTGGAGGATGGTAGCGCATTTTAATGACAATATCGAAACATACGAGGTCAGCGTCTTAATATTGTTGTGATTACTTATGATTTGTTTGCTAATTTAATTCCTTTTGTCTGCAGGGCGTGCGGATAAAGGAGGTGTCTGAAGGCAGGCCCTGCGACAACTGCCCTGAACTCTGCCCCGGGTTCATCTCGCATCCCTGGAGGTAAGCTGACAGAGTACATTTTTTATATACAGTCATTTTAAATTATGCGATGATAAGTAATTTTATTTACAATTATTTCTAAGCTACACTTAGTATTTAAGCGTAACATACGAAACATTTAAACGTCATCATAGGCAGTGTTTTGCAATATGTTTGCCTAACTTGAGTGTAATTATAAAGTGAAGGTAAAATTGCGCCAGACGAGGTCGCTTATAATGTAATAACAATACAGCTATTTAGTGATGAAACTCATGCATCTCTCATTAGATATACGTAAAGTACTCGAGTGTGTAGGTATAATGAAATTCAAACTTTATACCTGCTCATGGTTTAGCTGCTGGTGTGCTATGTTAGTAAAGGAACGTGAGCGCCTGCGTGACGCGCCTTCACGCATCCCCTTACATCTCACCAATTGGTGGCATAGTGTCCCAGACACACGATATTCCGAGCCGCCATAGAGTTTGGATCGAAGTGTACTACGTATGAACGCATTTAAACAAAAGACCGCGGCTTATCAAGCAGACGTTGAACCGAAATTGTTCGGGTCAGCGATAACGCCACTAGAAGCCACTTAGCTTTCGTACGTTCTCGAGCCATATACGATCGCGTTCGGAAGCCTGTGTAAGGAAAAAATTGTAGACCTTGAGCGCTCGGTCGCGTCGCAAGCGCATTGAAAATTGAAATCAAAAACAATACGACCGCGACATAATCAAACGAGCTGTTGTCGCGGATACACGTCTATCATGTGCATGGCTATGAAACAACTCGAGTGGGCGGAGATATACCGCCGGATAAGGAGAACGGAGACCATTGAAGTACAAGAGAGGAAGATACAGAAATTCCCGTCGAGGGAACGAAATCATGCCGTTCGAAGGAAAAATAATAATAATAATTTTCGATCGCACGCCAACTGTGAAACTTGTGCAAGAGTAGCCGCAGAAGAAAATAGATGAGGAGACTACTAAATTAACTTCAGTGATTTGTAGTGGTGTGACAAGACTGTGCTTAGTGACATGTGATCAAATTGAGACGTTAAATTTATAATACGCTAAGTTTCAACACATTCAAGTATTTTAAGGTGTTCTGCAAAAAGATTTAGTTTAGGTTTATACCTACTGTCTTTAGTTCTCCAAGAATAAACGGTAAACAATGTCAAATGACAACGTAGCGTTAATGACGCGACGGCCTTCAAATGTCTTTGACCACTTCGTATTGTGTCTACCAAAGCATAAACTTCCTAATTTATTTTTTGCACAAATGCTCAATTGCTGAAAACTTCAAGAAAGACGTACATTTTGATATTTAAAATTAAAATTTTCATTGTCTGTTACGTCTTTTAAAAAAGGATCATATTTCTTTTGCCATTTAGATTCAAACAATTTAACCTTAAAGTAAAAATTCAAGGTTAGCTATATTAATTTAAAATGCAAGCAAGCATTATATTATTATATGTAATTTGAGAATAAATAATATATCCTTGAAGTCGTATAAAAACAAAAGACAGTCTCTATTTTTTTTTGTCATTGACAAAGTTAATATATCAACAAACCACAAATATAAAGGAACTTTTTTACTTAAGTTATTGTGTATCTTGATTGAATTTTCTATGATCTATGTTGGATGTTTTTGATGATACCAAAGTTTTACTATTAGTTGAACAATATTTTTTTAATTCAATCACTGACGAAAAATGTAACTATCATAGAGTTTATCGTAACATACCTATTTAGATTATAGATTGCACATCATATGGCGTGATCGACGTGACCTTGAATTAGAATACAAATATGTTATCGTAACTTATAAATAAAAGACATTTGCTAACATGTTTGTTTTACTCAAAGCAATTCTAACATATTTTTTGAGTCGTGAATTTTTATAAAGTTCATGTACCTACTTTTAATTAATATCCCCTATTTCCTATGCATACATATTCCCTAACTCATAATCAATTCTCAGATGTTTTCGTCATAAAAATACAGGTAACTATGTCTGAAGAAAACCAAACTTACTTTAAAAATCCTATAGAATCATGACATGTAATCGGTTAACAGAATGAAAGTTGTTATCCCTCCTGTATCGGGCTGTTTTATCACCAATTACAGTAATTGGACGCCAGTTCCTTAGTAAGGGCGGCATTGGGGCGACGACCTGCACTTTATTATCCTACACCGCGACGCTATTGTCGACGAGTTTATACGATTGGGGACGTCAAATATGAATGATGTCTGATATCTGATTTTAATATTTTTGCTTTAAATTTTCCAATATCGAAGCCTCTACCTTACAGGTAATCAAATTCATGAAAGTAATTTAGGAAATAACGTTTTAGGTTTGGAATGTTTATACAGGAGATTTGAGATGAGAGAAAAAGATGTCCTATCTCTTTTATTTTCATTATATTGTGACGCGAGTTGAATTAATACAACTAATTCTTGTCGTTTATGATACTAACTCAAAAAAACATAAATTTTGACTTTATTCTTTTTATGTAGAAAGGTGCGATTGGTTAATATTCACTCAAAAAGGTCTCAATAAGAAAAATAATATTACACTCGAAAATATCAGCAATTCGACATTGCATACAATATATCTTATTGTAAAAAAGAGCATTTTGCATCATCACACTATGTTGTGCTTCGTCAAATTCCTTTCAATTTAAACGCGTCCGCGCTGCGCTCTCATTGTCCTGTACATACTTGTTAAGCGGTCAATTGCAGGCCAACTCACATATTGACCTATATAATTCTTGTTCTATAACGACAGTTATTTTTATAGAAGTGATTTAAAAACACACGACATTTAAAAAAGCATAATTCAAAGTGTAGGAATTTTGTCGCGAGACACGAAAACATTAACTTGGTACATATACAAAAGACATTGAGAATTTGAGGCTGCAAATTCGATCGACCTTTAGCTCCGCTCAGCTGACATTGGTGTGCGGGCCATTTGCATGGATATGTAGGAATATGTTCAGCTCTCAGTGTCATCTAGAGTGCAATACGGAGCGAGGACAATGCCATTCCGATAGTTAAGTACTTTGTACCACTACCAAATGGTTGATTACAATCAATTGAGTGTCCTGTATTTGGCACGTCAGGAACAAACAAACTCTCCTGTCCTATGTGCCAAGTTAGAAATAAAAAACTGTGATATTTAAAACGAAAGGCTCATTACGCTTTTAATTAATATTCATATGGGTTTATTTCATAAATTGCAAGAAGTATATAATAACTTTTGTTATCTATTCCATTTAATTCAGTCAAAAACGCGATTTCGAAGTAAATCCTGCACGCTATATGTCTATCAAATTATTCACGCCACTTCACATGATTTTAATTTAACACCCGTATAAATAAACTTTGCAAGGTCAATGCTTAATATTTAGGATAGAAAAAAGTACTGAAGAATATTTCAACAAGGTGAATTTGATCGTATTATGAATTTAATACAGGTTTAAAAGGAATTCTGTTGCCATATAACAACAATTAGTTTCACTAATGTAAACTATAAAGAAAGCCCCGTTTCCAGTATGTTTTCACCCTTATTACGTGGGTGTTGTAATTAAGTCGTCGTAAATATGTTCGCAGGATGGTAAGGGCCGCTTAATGAGGTTTTAATTTATTGCCCACGATTTATGTCTTAGTACACTCGTATGACAAGATGATTCACTTCGCCATTCTTTCTTATAGCTTGTTAATACAATATTCAGTAATTAAAGGTGGTTTACGATTAAATGTTTTACAGTTTTAATGTCTATTAAGATGTTACATTTAAAGAATAAAATCTGCTTTGATGTGTGATTTCTTATTTACGTGTTATAGAGATTAAATTAAATCAGTGTTTTTTTTAGTTATTTAGTAATCGTATTTGTATTAATAAGCTTAAAGTATTATTAATATTGAAAGCTGATATTTGCAACAAATTAATTTAACGTTCCGGCCTTTTGCAGTATTTATTAAAACTTAACATATATCAACATACGAATGTTGCTTGTTTCGTTTCCGGTTACAACTTACAATAACATGCGATATAGGATGTTACCTACCAATTGTAAACTTCAGTATTTTATCATCGTGCCAGGGTTATTATAACATACAAAATATTATAAACAGCAAGTATAAACACAGTTACGTTGGTGTTAAGAATTACAATATGACTTCATAAAATACGTTAAATAGGAATGGTTTGATCAGATAATAATATGCACAGTTTATAATATATCTAGTCCGAATACAAACTGACAAAATATACAATCGATTGGTGACAGACATTTGATAAACAACATCCGCCTTGTCTGGGATGCCTGTAATATTTTATTTTGTACTAGCTTACTCCCGCGACTCCGTTCGCAAGTAATAAAAAAAACAAAAGTGAGCAGTGTGTGTTCTTCCAGACCATCCTCTACATCTATACCAAATTTCATTGAGATCTGTTCCGATCTATCTAAACCTTCACTTTTATAACATTGATCTTTAGGTAGCTTATCTTGACCTAACTTGAATAGTTATCACTCGGAAATGTTTGATGGTTACTAAGTCATCTAATCTCTTAGCAATATTTAGTAATTCTGAATATTGCCGATCATGTCTCCTTTTTATGAAAGTTATTAATATTTATATTTCGTCAATATATATCTTTTGTTTTTACAATAAATCAGACGTAACATTGAGAGTACAGTGATAAGAACCGGACACAGTCGACTTGCTATCAGAAGACACAAGCTTTGTCACTCGCCTATCAATTGAGGTTAAATATTACCACAATTGCAATGTCTATATTTGTAAATTGTTTTATATTGACAAAATTATCTTTGATCATTTTTATCTCCACGGAACCCAATGTTTAAGTGTTTAAATTCTGTTTCGTTGTACGGTTAAATTAATATAATAAAATTGATTTTAACAAATATGAACACTCGCAGTAAAATTATAAATAGCTTTTCAATTTTGTCTATTTTGGGGTAGGTAATATTTAATGCAACATAATAAACCGGTCTA